TCTACCCCACTGAAGACTACAAGGTGTATCTTTCTAATGCCTCTTGCCATGCCAGCATGGATTTACAGGATGGTGGTGGAAATATTTATCCTTAGCCTACATGAGGGAGCACAACATGTGGGAGAGTGCCTGGTGCAGCTAGACTTCACATTTCATGAACTGGGCACTTCATTCTCTGCTTAGCTAAAACTTGTGGCTGTGACTAGAGCAAAGCTTAGGCACTTTAAACACCAGTGGAAGCAGCAGGAGTATGAAGGTATCCTCTGGGTCAGCTCTGTAAGTACCTAAATCCTGGTGTGGGGCCTGATTTCTCTAAAATTTATCCTCTATGGTCACAGCTGCCCCAGTGTTTTTAAGTCCCAAAGGTGATCTTTGAATTTTCTTTGGCTTTTTCTCTGAATCCCACAGATGGAAGTTATCTGCTGTAACAGACCTGACTTTTGGGGTTTCTGATTGTTAATTTTTTATGCCCCCAATCACGCTGGCTGGTGTTAGACCTTCTCCAGGTCTCTGTGGTCTCCCAGACAAGAATAAATAAAGTGGCTGTCTCATTGAAACAGTTCTTAAAGTGAGAGAAACCTTCACAAAATAGGTAGCAGGATGCTGCTTCTGAAACTGCAAGTCATGCCTTACCTTAAGCTTGACCTGGAGTTACCAAAGATGGGAGAAGTCAGGTAGAAAAGGGACACAGCTCCTGCAATCTCATATCTTGCTTAACTCCTTTAGTCCTGTTTTATGTTCTGGGTGCATAAAACATGGTGTTTCCTCTCAGCTTGTTTCTTTGAGTGTATTCCAGCCCTGTTGTAGTGGCTTTGCCAGGCTCTGGTGTGTCAGAAGGCCATGCCTTAACAGCTGCGCAGATACGGCTACGTGACAAACTCAAAGGTGAAGTTTGTTATGGTGGTGGATTCTTCAAACACAGCACTTCGAGACAACGAGATCCGCAGCGTAAGTGCAGGAAATCAGAGCACAAAGTTGCCACATCAGTGTTTTTGCTACTTCCGCTTATTCATAAAGTGCTGAGAGGCGAAAACAAATTAATTAATTAAACTGCAATCCCTTTTCAGATGTTCCGAAAGCTGCATAATTCATACACAGACATAATGTGTAACCCTTTTTATAACCCTGGAGACCGTATCCACTCCAGGTAAGTCAGCTGATCACACTGATCTTTGTCATCTCTCTGTCATTTGCAGTGTACCCATGATGAAATAGGACCAAGAGCAGAACCCCTGTGGGTGACCACTGCAGATGTGCATGCTCTGAGTGCCTGAGTGCAGAGCAGCTGTGTTGTCTTTGGGCCAAAACTCTGCTAAGTCTCATGAGAAGTGACACTGAACTCACTCCCACCTCAGAACCAGTGTCAAAAACATTGGCTCAAGGAAATTAATTTCTTGAGAAAAAAATTGCCTGTTTCATAGGTAAAGATGAGGATAAACATAGGTAAATAGAGCAGGTTAAAGAGTGGTAAAGGACTTATCCTTGGGTGAGGACAGATGGGCTTTCAGCGTGTGTAATTCCTCATGTGGGAGCACCAGTGCCCCTCATTTCTCATCTGGAGTCTCATGGGGAATACCAATCATGTTGGGAGTTGCCTAAGCAAGAACAACTTCTTTTACACTTTGCTGAGGCAGGTCTGCAGCCAGCATAAGAGCTTCAGCTTAATTAAATGTCATTATTTACTCAACATTATAAAGAATAAAACCATGTATTCATCATAAGGAAAGGCAGCTTGTTAACCAGCATTATTCATTGGTTTTGTGACAAAAGAGCTGCTGTGCAGAACTGGCTGCTTCCTTTAATATTGTGTGTATTTCCTTCCCTAGGGCTTTTGATAATATGGTGAACTCCATGATGATGCAGGTGTGCTGAGGCTCTGCCCCTTCTCATCTGAGTGAGAACATTCCCCCTGTACAGGAGCGTGTCTACAAAGTGATGTATATATTGTCTTCGTTCTGTGTAATGTTTTAAGTTTATTCTATGTAAAATAAACTTGGCACCTGCAAGGTGTGCATGCATTTCTACTTCCAGCAAACCTGAGCACAGCACAGGAGTCACTGTTGAGCTTTCCACCCTCAGGTAACACGTGAGAGGCAGCTCTTCCTTCAGGAAGGTCAGCTGTGTCAGATGGGAGGTTTGTTCCCTACAGAAACACGTGCAGCTGTGCCTCTGTGCAACTCAGATGTTCCTCTAGAAATTGGGTTTTGTGTAAAAGCAGCAGTTCCTGCTGTGCTTGTCATCAGAGCAGGCACAGCTGCACCAGAGACAGCTCAGAGATATTGCTGGGGTCAGCCTGGATTTCACCCAGCTGAGATGCATGAGTGGCTGTGTTCCTCAGCAGTGCTGGGTCCTCCGAAGCAGGAGGAGCACCTCAGCACCAGCACTCACAGTCCTGCTCTTCCCCAGCCCCCTTCACTGCTGCTCAGGACTAAGCACTGCTTAATTCAATCATACTTGGGCTCCTTGTTTTTCCTTAGCTGGGAGCACTCTGATGATTCAATGATTCTATGATCTGGATGTACTTACTCCATTAACTCTTGGAAAAACTCTCTGAATCAGATGAAGGCTCCAGGTTTCTACAGCCCCAGCCACTTGAGAAAGCTCTGGCAAACAGCAAACACCCGAACCTTGAACCTGATCAAGCCCTGCACTGACCCTGCCTTCCTGATGAACATTTTTGGGTGACCCACACACGACATTATTTGCTGTTATCACTTTGCACCTCCTTCAGCCAGGCCAGGCACACTTACCAGTTACTTCTGCCCAGGTAGCACAGCTGGGATAAATCCACACCAAGAGATGAAGGCATCAGGGCTGCACAGCTGTAAACTAATCTGTTAGCATCTCCCCATGCAGCTCCCTGCTGTTCCAATTAAAGACTACCAAATCAATAGCAGGTATTTCTATAGAAAAAAACCAAATCAATAGCAGGTATTTCTATAGAAAACCACCCTCAAACTAGACTAGAAAAGCATCCCAGCTTCTTAACTCATGCTATGCAAGGCTGTGCAGCTACAGTGAGTTCAGTGGATGTAATGCAGGCAGGCAAAGGCCCTGAGCAGCCACTCGGTGCTTCTCACACATTTCTACTCCTAGTAGAGTATTATTCACAGGCAGCAGTCTGTCCTTAAGGCACCTAATCAGTTAAAAATACAGAAAAACTTAGCTAAAAACAATAACAAAAAATAGGTGCACAGCTCCAAAGGATACAAGAAGCCTGGGGAAAGCCAGGTCAGTGCAGGGTGTCAGCTCACAGCCTCACTGCAGATGAAGTTCACACAGCAGGATCATTTATTTTAAAAATACGTGACAGTTACAATACCTTCTCAAACAGGACTTGAATACTTTTAATCAACAACAATCTGAAAAATCATGGGAGGTTCAAGTATTGGAGCCTCTCCCACCATCTAAACGAGGCACAGCTGCACACTGCTATTCCGAAATATTTTCATCTTAAAACCTTCACCCTTTTCACTTACAGGAGCTCAGCACTTCCACGAGAGAGAGTCCAAACACCCCAAAATAGTTCTGGTTAAAAATTATGTATCAAGAATTTACAAAGCTATTATAGTTTAAAGCCCTAGGAAAAGCCAGTTTTATAGTCAAAGCCTAAGGGTAGCGCGGATCAAGGCCAGCCATAGCAGCACGGTCCAAAATCAACACAATATGAAGAGTTAAGGCCCCAAGCTTAAAAAAAAATCCTGATATCTTAAGGAAAAAAAAGCCAAACAGTGGGATTTTTAGCCTGGCAATGCCCCCTGAGCTGTGAAAAGCTGCTTTAGGAGTCGGTCGCATCTGTTGCATCTGGGTTAGAGGAATCCTAACCAAGGATCCCAAAAGATTAGCGTGAGAATTACATAATAAAACTGATTTCAGTGCAAAACTTCACACAAAAAGGATGCCTGCCTCTCTCAACACAAAATTTTGCCTTTAAAAACAAGCAGTTTCAGAGCTCATAAGCACAAGGAAGGGGAAATGCCAGGCAGCGCTTGGGTCCCGACCCTCTCATTCAGCTGAGCCCACACCATCCCCAAACGGGGATCTGTTTTTTTGGAATGGTGACGGGAATAGAGGAAGATCAGACCAAATTTGCAGCAGTGGAGATGACTTTGTAATATTGCTAGAAATCAAGTAAAAAATTATGATTTGGCAGCACCCTTTGGTCCCTGTAGCTTTGGAATAAAAGCAGGAGGAGGGGAGGAGAGGGGGTGGTTGACTTCTGAAATGAAAGTGAGGAAGGGTTTGGGAACACCCAGGTCTTGTTTAGCCATCACAGAGATAGAGGCTTCCAGAGAAACAGCAAGGGATGCTTTTACCCCCTTGACCCAGTTATTAAGTTGTACAACAGCAGCAGTGAGCTAAAAACCAGACCCAAAGCACATCCTTGGGCTCCATCCTCTTCCCACATGGTCAGAAATGCAGGAGGCTGAGGAAGGAAAAGCTCCCGAGCAGACAGGGCCAGAGCTGCAACCCAAGGCTTCCTCTGCCAATCTGGAGAAGAAAAACAGTCTTTGGAGAGGTCTTTAGGATCTTCTCATGGGCAGGAGAAAGCAGCATCCAGCTCTTGGAGAGACATCTGGCAAAGCTGAGGGTGCAGGATGGGTCTGGTGGGTTGGAGGGCATTTGGCCAGCCAAAAACCAAACCAAAGCCTCCAGTGCATCCCTTTTCTATAGGATGAGGATGAAACTGATGGTTTGGGCAAGGTGTTCCTGTCCCAGGATGGGGTGTTCTCTGGAAGGAGTCTGTTCTCCGTGAAAACGCAGTCCCCTAAGCAAAGGTGATCCCCTGGGATGCTGGCAGGGATGTGGCCAATGCAGGAGGAGTGGATCCAGTCGTCCCTCCAGCAGCCCGGCACACGGCTGCCTCACCAGTAATCCTCACAGCCAGGCAGATGGCATTGTAAAATTAATCTTTTTTTGGCTTGGGTAGGCATATTTTTAAATCTCTCCAATCCCATCTCCTCATTTCAGTCCCATTGGCATCACCAGGGCAGTCCTTTCTAGTATGGAAAATACCAGGGCAGCAGTCTTGCCCGACCCCTAAACAAGAACAAAACCAGAACCTTAAAGCACAGGGGTATTGCTCAGCCAAAACACCAGCTATACCTGCCCTGAGAGCTGGGATTCACCCTTCTGCCCCAGCTAACCCAGACTGAACCCCAAAACCAAGCTCACCTCTGGGACTGATTTGGCTGGGAGCACAATGCCCACCCCCCACCCCCCAAATCCCTGCAGGGATGGGGCGGGGGGACAGCAGCAAGTTTCCAGGTGTTTCTTCCACCCCTGAAAGCTCCTTTCTCTGCTTCCTCCCTTGGTGCTGAAGGGGTCAGGGCATCATTGAAGCTAATGCAGAGCGAGCTCACAGATGCACAAGCAGCGGGAGGTACGCTGCAGAACAGCTCCGGGCCCGCGCTGGGGATGTCGGGATGGCTCTGCTGGCTGCTCACTTCAGTCCTTCCCCACCTCGGCCACACACCTTCCCCCTCGAGGTGCTCATGTCCCCTTTGCCAGGCTCCTGCTGACCCCACAGACACCGGGGTGATGCTAACAGCACCCGACGGGCAGGGGACATTTCTAGCACAGGTCTCCAGGAGGATACTCCTGCAAAGCCCTTCTCCATCCTCCCCCAGCATGGGAGGCACAAAGCTGAAAAGCTGAGCGCAGCCAGAGCAAGGAACACCTATCCCCATCCTGGAGACACCCTACTCCACAGGGATTTTGACCCAAACATGCAAGGAAACCCGGCTGCTCACCTGTACGTCCTCCCTCGCATTCTAGGGTGCTGCTGCCCTCCGTAGTAGCCTCCCCACTGGGCCAGCCCTCCCCGGGCTTGGAAGCGGCCACGGTAGCCCCCACGGTCGGTGGTGCTGATGCCAGGCATGTTGGTCCTCTTGGGCAGCACCTGGAGGGCAGGGGTGGGCTCAACAGGTGCTGGGATTTGGCACAGCCCTGTGCATTTGGGGCTGGGAGGGAGGGACAGATGCACCACCCCGGGGCCTCATTAGCGCTTACCTTAATGACCCGGCCTCTGAACACGCTCTCATGTAGCTCCACTGCAGTCTTCACTGAGCTTTTCTCTTCAAACTCGATGTAGGCGTACCTGCAAGGGGACGGGATGAGCAGAGCCCCAGGGCCACCCTGCTGCTCCAAAAGGCTGGGGAGCACAGGGTAGCACCCTCGACACCCCAACCCCAGCCTCCCCATGCAGCGCTGACCCTTTGGGATGGCCCGAGAACTTGTCGCAGAGGATGGTCACACGGTTGATCTGCCCGCAGCTGTTGAAATGAGACTCCAGCTCTTCTGCTGTGCCCCCATAATCCACCTGCAATGACACCCCCAGTCCCTCCAGTGCCACCAGTCAGCCTCCCTGGCTCATGAGGCCGCATTCCCACACCATCATGGGAAGCAAAGTGCCTCCTGACCCCATCACACCTTGCCAACGCAGCCTCACTATCTCCTGAGGTTCAAGAGACCATTCCCAGCTGAATGCTCCAGCCTGGAAACCCAAATCTAGAAGGCAGCTCCCCCCATTTGAGGGAACAAGCAGCACCACACGACCCACAGCTTCCAGAGGGGTATTTTGGGGAGTTGACACTTGCAACAGATTATCTGCAAGTGGCTGAGGATCATGGGCAGGTGCTGAGCCACATTCCCAGTCTGGGCTGGGCAGAGGAGAAGTATTTGGGATGGGACCAGCCAGCCTTCAATGGGGGGCAGATGGACCCCTGTGCTAGGGATCTCGGACATACGTCCTGCAGTGAAATAGGCTCTGCTCCTGGGTCTTCCACTTACGTTGCCGACGTAGATGGATCGCTGGTCAACCTCCATCTTCTCCTCAGTTGTCTTTGGGAAGAGACCTGCAGGGACAAGCAGTTACGCTGGGTTGTTGACAGGGTGACTGCTCTACTAGGGCTGTTGGTGCTAAACTCAATTACTTAATTGAATTAATTTGAATTAAACTAATTGACTGCACCTTGGCCTGCAAAGGCAGGAGCTGGATATAACTTTAGCACCATGCCATGCCTGGGACCCTGTCCCTCACCCACCTTATGTGTCCAGCCCCAGGGAAGGCAGAGCCATGTGCTCAGGCTCCAATTGCCACCCTGTGCCCCAGAGGTGTCCCTTGGGGGGCAGCAGCACCTGTGGACAGCCCATACCTGCCTCCATGCTCACTATGAAGCGGCTCTCAGCCTCCAGCTGCAGCTCCTTCAGCCTTTCATCCTCCTTCTCCATCTCCCGTACTCTGGCTTTGATGGCCTCCAGCTCCTGAAACCCAAACCAGGACTCACGGGAGCAGCACAGGGAGAAGGGACACCCCAACCCCACTCCCTGCCCTGGGCTGGGTGCACCTCCATCACCAGTGCCTCCTCAGGCTGGGGACAACAGCCTGTCCCACCAAAGGCGAGTTCAGCTCCCAGCTCCACTGGAGAGAAAAAAACAGGGATATATTTCATTTCCTACACTTGCTTGCAAAGCAGAGATGCCCCAGCAGCACCAAAGCTGCCGGAGGGAACCGGAGATTTAAGCTGGTGATGAACAGAAGCCATTTACTCTCTCTCAGGCAGGCAGACATGTCGGCAATGAAAGCTAAACAGCAGGAGTGACAATTCAATTTCCAGCTTCTCAGCTCAGAAGTTTCAACACCAGAGGCCTGAGATTTTATTTTGATTTTTTTTTAATTTTTAGAACCGCTTGAAGAGAGGTGTAGAAAGTTTCCCATCTCCTTAGAGAAACAGGGAAAATTGATTCCACGCTCAGGCAGGCACTCACTGGGTCCAGCACAGAGAGCTCCTCTGCACTGTCCCCCTCCAGGTGACTCAGGTCCGAGTCGTCATCCGCAGCCTTCTGCAGAGCTGCCATCTTTGTCACATCCCAGGATGCCTCCGCTGCTGCCAGGGACGGTGAGTCCTGCCACCAGATCCGTGAAGTGTCCAGGAAGAGAGGACTGGGTGAGAACAGGGGGAAAAAAAGCCATTTAACAACCAACCAACCATTTAACACAGAACCTGGGAGCAGCTCCCCTTGGGTGAAAAAAAAAGCCAACCAAAAAACAGGCACAAGTGTCACAGCTCATTGGCAGGGAAGAGAAGCCAGGACCAGCTCCCTCAGCAGAGCTCCTGGGCTGCACAGAGGGAGCACTGGGGAGCCCTGCCCCACCCAAGCAAAGGCAAACCCACACCCTCCAGCCCCAGGCTCTCGGTTCAGTGAACAAACCCCCCCAGCCCCGGATGGGGAGCCTCTCCTCTGCTGCCACTGAGCTGGGCTCCGCCCCGGTACCGGTCGGGGTCCTCCTCACCTGGCCCGGCCCCCGAACATGCTGCGGAGCAGTGCCACGTGCGAATCTCCCGCCACCACATGCCCCTCTCCTGCCGGCGCGGCGCTTTCATACATCAGGGACCAATCAGAGCAAGGCGCGCCCGTCAAGTCCCGCCCCGTACCGGTAGGGCGGGGGAGGCGCCCC